GTGTGTTCAATACTTTTTCCCTGTGCCATTCCACATTATTACAAATGACTTCATTTCTGGACATTTATGGTTTGATTTCTTTGTTTGTATGGATCACTTGGGTTGTTACCGACATCTGGTGAAAATTTCATGTCATTAGCACCTCTATTAATATATTTACTGAGAAAAATGGTGACGTGTTCAATACTTATTTTACCCGCTGTATTAGTTTTTTGTTATGGAAGCAGCTTCATGAGAGTAATTCAATGCTCTCTTTAATGGAGCACCAGGGTAGGACAGACAATATTTAGCTCTTTGGACTGAAACACCCCTGCTTGGCTGGCATCAGCCATTTTGTCGAGAAGCTGCTCTCCCCTCTGGATCTGAGGGGGCATCTGACATAAATTCCATTTTTCATTCTGCGTGATGCTAATTGTGTTGATGTGCAAATAATGTGGACCCACTCTCAGTGCATTATTGTGGAAACATAAGGAAATATAAGTGTGTTGTCACTATATGAAGATTGATATGTAAAAAAAATTTATACCAATATTATTATAGAAAACTGGATAAGGCACAACCCTACTACAACTACAAACCTTTCATTATTGCTCTTCTCAGGCAGGACAGCGCACAAAGTCCCAGAACCCACTGTGACCTTATGACTTTTCCCACTGATGGGCGGTGACTCAGGAGAACGAAACTCTGAACCACACAGCATCAATTCCGTCTCCCCACCGGCAGGAGTCATTTTTGGAAAAAACTACAAAGCAAAAATACACCTATATGTTACATCAACACTCTGCACCTTTGGTGTTCTGACGTATTTAGTTTAAACTCTGTATATTGGCTAATAACAGATAGCATCTTAGCTACCTCCGTTATGACAGGTGCACAAGACTCTTCATTCCACTGTGAGGCACACTCAGGCTTCCTGGAGCATTTTCCTGAACACCAACCACAGTTCATGAAGTCTGGAGCCTTCTGACACGAGGGACATGTAAGAAAATGTGCGCAGCCCGGTCCTGTAGACGGCACCTTGAACATCTTATGTGGAAAGAGAAAATGGTGAGGAAAATAATAATAAAACACCTCCAGTAATCAATGCAGATTTTAGAAAATGCACCTTATTTCCAGCCACAAAAAGAAGCGAATCCTCTGAGTGCACAGCAGCTGTCCTGGATATTCCTGTTTCTCCCAGCAAATAGTTGGCAAAAACTATCGGTGTGTCCAGTTTAAGAACCACCTAAAAAAATGGAAACGGAAAATAAACTTTTACATGTTTAGCATATTTACACTGCAGCACTCCAGCTAAATGAGTGACACTTTGTTACCTGCAGTAACCTGCCATCTGAAGTGCCTAAATGTCCGATTGTGTGAGTTCCGATAGTCGTGACCAGAATAGAGGTGAACAGGACGTCCCTCATCTGCCTGTTGAAGATGTCCACTTTGTAGTGTGGCTTTGACACCAGCGTGGGCTTGTTAGTGCACGTGGGATTCCCTTCAGAGGCCTGTAAAAGTCGTGTTACATTCACACAAAGTCAGCTTTRAGAATTCACACACCTTCCAAACCAAAGTGTGCATTTGCCACTATCAACTTTACGTTTCTTCTGAGCAAATAAATCCAGAAAATAAATGAATGAAATTGTGGAGAAGGATAAAGAGAGCAAACAGACTTTAATCCTTCTTTTAAAAAGAAAGTCCTCTCGCTGTGCAGTCATCCAGGGAGAGGAAAGTCTTRAAACAGCCAACAGCAATAAGCTCTGTTGAACTGATTACGGTTTCCAAGTGTGTTTCGTCTAAAACCAAAATTAGACTTTATAGACTTAAACACTCATAAAACAGTTCATTACAGTTTTCCACATGTTGGCAGAGAGTCACAGTGGTTAAAATAGGGGATTATTCAAAAGAGCAGGATGAGGTRCACTAACAGAATACATTCCATTGCAAAACACTTGTCTGACCTGTCCTAGCATGCCCCTATGGCAGAGGAGCCCAAAGTGGGGCCTGCGGGCCAAATTTGGCCCGCCAAGCCATTTGATGTGGCCCACCAACAGCTGCCAAAGTTACAAGGTTGTAACCTGTTATCCTATAKTACTTCCATTGGTCAAATGACTATATAAAAGGGCTGTGGTGAAGGTAGTTTTCATTCATGGTGCTGACTTTATCTTTGATTTATTAGGATTAAACAYGAAACATGAAATGACARCAAGAAATATTTAGATCAGATTTAACCCCACATGTAGATTTGCACACTTYATAAGGCCACAAAAACTCATATTTTATCAAATTATGAACTGYCCCAYGAGCCTTTGCTACTTGCGAGTACACAGACTTTATCCAAGTGCACAGACTAAARCWAAAGAGGGCCATTGCACAGCTTAATTGTTAAAAATAAARGACTTTACTTWAAAAAGTATTTGTRTTTCCTGTRTTATAYTACTGCRTTTGGCCCRCAGCCCTGGATAGATTTTCATTTTGGCCCTCTCGGGGAAAATGTTTKAGCACCCCTGCCCTATGGGTATATCCACAAAATTACCTATTTCTTGCTTTTTTAACACAGCTGGGTGATATGTTTCCAAACTGACTGCATCAAAATGTCAAACTCCCACCCTGTCACGATGAGCTTCATCCCACAGCTGCAGGTGTTATCACCCATTCAACAGACAAGTATTGACTTTTGTGACCTCTTAATTTATGTCTTATCAACGACAAAACATTAATATAAATTCACTCCTGTCTTTTCATTACTTCACTGATGCTCTTTTTGCCGTGTGTAGACACAAGTTCCGCTCATACCCTGAGTTTCAGTGTTTTTACACCTGAATAATTCCTGGGGTGGGGTTAGGAAGGTTAACAAATAAAAGCATTCCTCTGAAGTCTGACGAAATATTACTTGAGGCCACTTTAAAGGACTACAAGAAGGTTTCACTCTGATGCAAAACATAAAGAAATGGAGGGTTGACGTGAGACTTTTGCACAGTACTTTACAGGTTAGATTCTCTCATGCTGTATTAATGTCTAAAAGATTTCATTCCTGAATATGGTTTTGCATTCATTCTGTTGCAAAACCATCTCCAATAAAAGTTTTTATTTCTTCAAAATGAACCCCATTCYCTATTACTTAAACAAAATAAAGTGCATCATTCAACGTTGACCCTCCCCTCAAAATTCCACCTTTTATCAGCCGGATTTGCAGTTTGTGTGTGTTGGCACTTCTGCTTGTAGGTGTAGGAATGTCTGTGGGAGCTCAAAGTACACAGATTGAGGTCCATAAAAGGGGAAACCACTCCTTTTTGCCGTGAGGAACAGTCACTTAATAAACTTTGAAGTAGGAACTCTGGCTAAATTTATTGGTCTGAAGCAGCCCGGTTGGGACACAGGTGGAAAAGTAAAGAAATCTCAACAACTCTTGTGATTCATAAAACACCTTTCAGCTTGAGATGCCAGACCGGGATGAGGATCAGAATAAACATGAAACATTATGGTATAAAGTTATTCTTTAAAGCACAAATGTAACCTAACCGTCTTTAGTCGCATCGTCTCTTTGAGCCTTATGAGTTATTAAAAATAATAATTAAACTGGAAAGTTCAACTTAATGTAAACAATGAGCTATGAACCTAATAGATATCAAACAAAAGCKTTTTTATAGCAAAGTTTTGCTCAGTCACCACCAAATTTCTATAACAGACTGAAACTTGAGACTGACCCAAACGCTGATAAATGAYGTGGCAACTTGCAGGTAACATGACTGACTCAGCCACCCCTCCCTGTTCTCTCATTTGGGTTTGCTCTCTTTCTACTGCCCTCTCTCACACACACAAACACACATAAATCTTTCTCAACCACTGGATACAGGTGACTTTATTGCCCAGTGTTTGTCTGAACAGGTCACTTCCTGTTGGGAGTGTGACCTGTGCATTGCTTCGATGACATGCAGGCGTAAAAAAGTTACTCACTTCATGTGGGCAGTTCTCACACGTCTGGAAGTGACAGAGGCCTCTGGACAGCTGCTCGCTACCTCTGCTGCAGCACGCTTCCACACCCGTCTCAATCGCTTGGTTGACTTGGGTCAAAGGGAAGGCGCACAGGGATGAGTTTTTCTTTGGTACGCCTCGCTCGTCGACCTTTGCGAACACCCCGTATAAAATGTCTTCATTAACTTTGACCCTCAGCTCGTTGACCAAATCCTTCCCTGCTTGTCCAAAGTGTGCAGCCTGCAACCCRTTGTACACAATGTCCTTGAAATTCTCCCTCCGTCTCCTCCGACGCTTCGGTTCATAACGGCACTCTAAGACCACCTCTCTGTACATCCACACTTCCGGAATTAAAATTGGCAGTCGACCCAAACGGGTCTGAAATGGTGAGTTGCTCTTGGAGGGATCTTCCCTCTGCAGGGACAGAAAGTAGACATACTCCTTGGTGGAAAAACTGTAGATGTAGTCTATGTTGTAAGAGTTACGTAGACCGGGCAGCACTGTGAGGTGGTCACTGTTCATGTCAAAGCCATCCTCAGTGGAAAGTGGCCTCAGCACTGAAATGGACTTCCTTGGGTAATTCTGTGTCACTTTATCATTGATGGAAGCTGCTACAAAAAACAACGATGTCTTTCCCTCGTCGACAATAGTGACTTTGGTGCCAAGAGGACTGGCCAGACAGTCAGGGCAGTTTTCAGGAGAGTTCCTGTCTTTTTTGTATAAACATATAGGCTCAGGTTGTGAAGACTCAGTGTTAATAAAGTAACAGATTCCATGCTGAGTACTTCCACAAAAGTATAAGTATGGCAAGATAGATCCAAGCGGATCAAAAAGTAGAACTTCGTTGTCTGTGTCCACTGGATCCTTGGGATCAGTTTCTATTTCACACACCTGACAGGTCTGACAGTCAGGACTCCCCACAGGTCCAGTTCTCACCTCCCATGTTTTGTTCATAGAATTATCAATTGCCACTATAGCATTTTGGTATCCAAGGTACACCTCATTTGGCGAGGACTCCCAGCTTAAAGCAATGTTCTGAATGGGTTTTTCTGTTTCAAAGTATGGCAGAGAATATTCTACGTTGAAATCCACGGGTTTACRAGGAGCAGAGGGACACGAACGCTCTCCTGAGGAAGTCTGTGTTTGGATCCATATGCAAACTGTCAGCAAGGCAGTCAAAGTGACCATTTCCACGTCACAGCCAACTGTAAATAAACGCTACCTACAAAACACTTTCCAAAAAGAGAACATTCTGGAGACGCAGCRGGGGGAACCTGTGAGAAGAAACAGAAAAGGAATGTTGAGCTTTAACAGAGAGAGGCCTGTAGCTTTTATTTCTCATATTTAACAGATTCACTGCTGCTAGTGGAGGCGTATAATGTAAACGGTCAAGACTGATTCATCTGAAAACGAGTTGAGTAAATAGAGCCTTATCAAACAGAAGCTGTTTTTTTAATGAAGCAGGTGTACATTAGTGATCTGATWGAGATCAGTGGAAAAATAACTTGAATGAAGACAAAACCAAAAGTGTAGAGGACATGCTGCAACATGTGGAGCAACTATGGAAACTTTTAGGCTAACAGACCCACACAAACARACACAGGTTGGGTGTCAAAGACAAACTACAGATTTATTTCTAGTTTACTATGCACCTAAATAGCTCTATTTAAACTGGAATTTAAGAGTAAACTTTGAATAAAATTATAATACTTATCCCACATTTGGGATAACAAGTTTGGATTACACATGTTTACATTTAAAATGGCGAAGAAAGTGGGATTAAGACGTTGATCTGGTAATTACAACAGAAACTCAGGAAACATTAACATTCATGTAAATGAAATTCGTACCTTATTTTGAAAAGGAAGAAAAGTCTCAGAAAAGCAGGCTTAAATTTCGTTCTCATCGGGTTCAACTCTTTAAAAAATGTTCTCACTGGAAAATTTTTGCGTATTCACCTGAACTCATCTCCTGTCACAGCTTTTGCGGTCTAGGACAGAACTGGTTGGGAAATTAAAGTAACCTGTATTCTGAAAACAGAAACCGGATGCGGGCCTTCAAAATAAAAGCGCACCCAGAACAGATTGGTTTGAAATGATTAATGACGTTTGATTGTTTTACAAATATGAATTTAAAGGGAATATGACAGCTAAACAAATGACTGCCAAGCATTTATGTTCTGATGATGATGTAAGTAATGGCCTAATTTAAACATCAACACAAATAAAGAAAGAATTTCACACATTTCAGCATTATTTTAGGTGAGGGAGGGTAAAGTTTGAAAAATATTTTAAAAAATTTGTCTTTAAATTTTGATCTGCATGTTAACATTGATCACAAACAGTAAGGAAATTTGTGTTTGAGATTTCTTTCTAACACTATAAGGAAACACTTTTGTAAGGAAAATACATTTGTTGGTTGCATCTATAAAAAATGTCTCAGATCATCTCTACTAATGTCAAGCAACTATGGAAGCCCATTTCTGCCACCCTGATAAAAAATAAATAAAACTTGTATCTCATAATTATGAGAAACTATCTCATAATTATGAG